GTCTTGTTTCATTTTTTCCTCTCATCCCCTATGATCCTCTGCCTTGTTTCTCAAATTCCACATATCAGTGAGATCATATGATAATTATCTTTCTATAACTGTTGTAATTTTTTAAAAAGTTTAAATCACCATAAAACTACTCAAAGAACACATTTTAAAAAATTACTGATTACCGAAAATGAAAATGAAAAAATTTACCAAAACCAACAGATCAAACTGTTCTCATGGATTATCTATCCTGTCAGAACTTATAAGCATACATAAATTTTATATGCTATTAATCACAAAATATACACTTATAAGAAAGCAGAATATAAAACTGTATGAGAGGCACTTCCGCTGTGCCTAATTAATATGCCTAAAAAATTAAAAAACTCATCTCTACTCTCTATTTTATCATTTTTTCAAGCTTCCACAGTTCTATAATAAATGTTAATTTTGTTAACTGCACAGACAATACATAACGTCCTTTCCTAACAGATAACAAATGTTATCTGAAATGGCTTCAAAAATCACTTTAAAATGTGGAAAAATTAATACAAGCTTCTACTACGTCAAAGCTTCTCCATCTTTAATGTGCATATGAGTCATCTCCAGGATCCTGTGAAGAAGCAGATTCAGATTCAGTAGGTCTGAGGTGCGCCTGAGCCTGCGTGTCAAACAAGCTCCCAGGTGATGCTCATGCTGGTCCAAGAATGGCACCCGGGAGCCTGCAGCTAGTGCAGTTACAGCCATCGGCCTTAACCAGTATCGCTGCTTGGTAACACTGGGTGTTGTGCAAAACACCTTCGTAGAGAATGTTTTCCTGACAATGAATGTGACACAGACTCTATTAAATACATACTATACTCACAAAATTATCAGAAGTAGCAGGTTTAGCTGTTCCATTGGAAACCGTTTTTGAGACTCTTAATTTTATTCCTTCAGCTATAATGAGAAACATTATGGAGAGAAATAAATTATAAAATATTTTCTTTCATAATCTCATATTTAATAGCCCAACAAAGATTTATATATATCTTTGTATATACAGATTTATATAGAGAGAGATTTTTATATACACTAATTATTTATATATGTATATATTTAAAAGAAAGTTAATAGCGGAAGCTTCGGGCAGTGTGCTGGCTTTAACATATCACTTGGAAATGTAGGAGGGATGGCAAAATAACAGATTTCACAAACGTTTGCAGTAACAACTAGGTTTTCAAGAGGCTCGTTTGAATTCTAGTGTTAGAGGAGTTTAAAGATTTTTATTTATTTGACAGAGACAAGAGACAGCGAGAGAGGGAACACAAGCAGGGGGAGTGGGAGAGAGAGAAGCAGGCTTCCCAAGGAGCAGAGAGCCCGATATGGGGCTCGATCCCAGGACCCTGGGATCACTACCGAAGGCAGATGCTCAAGGACTGAGCTACCCAGATGCCCCTAGTTTTAGAGCAGTTTAAACAAACAAGTAAACATATACATATTTCCTTAGAGAGTTTCAATACATTTTAAAGTTTATGGATATAAAAATCTATAGAATTTGCAGTATCATATTCAATAATAAAACACATCTTTGGTTATGCTTTTACTTCTCTGATGTGTACATTTTGGAATGTGCCTATGATAAAAATAAAATGGGAAAGAGAAGGATTTTCTTCCTATTTGACCAGGCTCTCCTTTCTGCCACCAGTTTCAGAGCAGAGGTTAAGGGCATGAGTTCTGGAACTAGACTGCCCACTAAGGATTCTGGCTCTCCCTATGGAACCCTGGGCAAAGCATTTAACTTTCTGTGACTCAGCGTCCCCAGCAACACAATGGGATAATACTGTTATCTACCTTAATAAACAAGAGCATTAAACAAGTTAGCGTATATAAGGTGCCTGACATGTAATCTCTGCCCCATAAGTAATCACTTTAGTTATTACAATAATTTGCAAATCGTGCTTCTCCATAAACAAGGTCAATTGGTATGTTATGATCATAAGTTGATATAATGAATACAAATGAGGTTCCTTGATCAAAAAATGTTTCTGTGGGGTGTTTAAAATCCCAACATTTGAGATCTCTTCTCTTAATGGGGCAATACACTGATTTTTAAAATTGAGGTACAACATAGACAATAAAATATACAAATTTTAAGTGTACAGTCTAAGAGATTTTACAAGCATATACACTTGTGTAACTACCATCTCAGCCAAGACATTTAACATTTTCAACATTACATAAGGTTCTTTAAATTCCTTTCCGGTCAATCCTAATCCTACCAGAAGCAACCATTGTTCTGATTTACATAATCACCATAGCTTAGTTCTGCCTGTTCTGGAACTTCATATATAGAACCATAATCCATGGACTCTGTATTCTTTTAGATTTGGCTACTTTCACTCAATATAAAGGTTTTGAGATTTATTTATGTGGTAGTGTTGGTTACTTTTGATATGAACAGTAGCCCATTGTGTGGTATACTACAAATACTTTATCCACTCATTTGTTGATGGACATTGGGTTATGTCCAGTTTTAAACTATTAAGAATAAATCTGCTGAAAATAATAGTGTACATCAGTGTCCTTCGGTGAACATCGCTTTCATATCCATCATTTGTTCTGGGTGAATATCCTGGGATGGAATGGCTGAGGTGTATGGTAGGTGTATGTTTACCTTTTTAAGAACGACATCATTTTTTAAATTAGTCTTACTACTTTACATTCTTTCCAGTACTGTCTGAGTGATATAACTATTCCACACCCTCTCCAACATGTCATGCTGTCAGTCTTTTAAATTTTAACCATTCTGGTGGATATGTGGTGGTATCTCACTCTGGTTTTAACTTGTGTTTCCCTGATGACCGAGCACCTTTTCACATGCTTATCGGTCATTCTTTTGTCTTCTTTGGTGAAGTATTCAAATATTTTTTTGTTTTTTACAAACTGAGTTTAACTGATTTATAGGGATTTTACTTATATTCTGGATATAAGTCCTTTCTCAGATATATGTACTGAGGATCTTTTATTCCAGTCTAGGGCTGGATACAAGTCCTTTGTCAGATACATGTACACATAATCTTTTACTCTAGTCTAAGCCTGGCCTTTCATTTTCTTAAGTTTTTCTCTTGATGAGTATTTTAATTTTTGTGAAGTCTAATTTAGCAGTTTTTTTAAAATTTTATGGTAACTGCTAATGTCCTAAGAAATTATCTAACCCAAGGTTATAGAGATATTTTCTTGTTTTCTTTCAGAAGAGTTATAGTTTTTCTTTTTTAGCGGGGAGGGACAAAGGGAGAGGGAGAATCTTAAGCCGGTTCCAGACCCAGTGTGGACCCAACATGGGGCTCAATCTCACAACCCTGAGATCATGACCTGAGCCAAAATCAAGAGTTGGACACTTAACTGACTGAGCCACCAGGGCCCCCAGAAGAGTTATAGTTTAAGTTTTCACATCTAGGGTCTGTGGTCCATCTTGAATTAATTATTATGTGATATCTGTGTAAGGAGTCTAGGTGATTTTCCCTCCATGTGTTTATCTAGTTGTTGCAACACACTTTGTTGATAATACTATTCTGTTCTCATATAACGTCTTGGTGCCCTTGTCAAAAATCAGTTGACAAATGAGGTTTCCAGTTTGAAGCTACTTTAATTATTGCATTCCATTCATTCATTTTTTTCATTCATTCATTCATAGAGGCGGGGAGGGGCAGAGGGATAGGGAGAGAGAATCCCAAGTAGGCTCCACACCCAGCACGGGGCCCAACGTGGGGCTGGATCCCACAATCCTGAGATCATGACCTGAGCCGAAATCAAGAGTTGGCCTTTCAACTGACTGGGCCACCCAGGCGCCTCTATTGCATTCCTTTTAAAAACAAAACTTTTAGAAACCTATTATATGGAATCAATTTGGTACTTGTAAAAGTACATTCTTCACAATGTTATTACTTAATGCAATAACAACAACAATAAAATCAACTGACCATATATGTGTGGATTTATTTCTGGACTCTACTTTGATACATTACTGTGTTTCTCCATCCTTCTGCCAAACCACACTATCTTGATTAATATAACTTGATATTTTTATAAGTCTTGAAATTACTATAAGTCCATTAATTTTATTTTATTGAGATAAAATTCCCACACTATAAAATGCACCATCTTGAAATGAACCGTTCAGTAGATTTCAGGATAGTCAAGGAATTATGCAACCATCACCACTAATTCCAGATTTTCATCAACCTAAAAAAAAACCCCATGCCCATCAGTAGTCACTCCCTACTCATTCCTTCCACCAACCCCTGGCAATCATCAATATACTTTGTCTTCTATGAATTTACCTTTTGTGGACTTTTCATCTAACTGGAATCATATAATTTGTGATCTTCATGATTGGCTTTCTGATTCACTTAGCATAATGTTTTCAAGATTTGTCCATGTTGTAACTACAAGAATGTTTGAGCTCTTCCAGGTCCTTGCTTTCTGACATACATTTTAAAATCAGATTAACTGGGGCACCTGGGTGGTGCAGTCGGCTGAGCTTCCAACTCCTGATTTCAGCTCAGATCATGATCTCAGGGTCCTGGGATCGAGCCCCGAGTTGGGCTCCATGCTTAGCAGGGAGTCTGCTTAAGATTCTCTTCTCCCAGGGCACCTGAGTGGCTCAGTCGTTAAGCGTCTGCCTTCAGCTCAGGTCATGATCCCGGAGTCCTGGGATTGAGCCGGGTTCCCTGCTCAGCAGGAGGCCTGCTTCTCCCTCTTCCACTGCCCCTGCTTGTGTTCCCTCTTTCTCTGTCTCTCTCTCAAATAAGTAAATAAAATCTTTAAAAAAAAAAATCAGATTAACCATTTGTATTTTTTTTAAGGTCAGTTAGAATTATGACTGGGATTGCACTGATTCTACTTACCAGTTTTTAGTACTGACTGCTTAATAATATTGAGAGTTACAATTCATAAACATGTTACAGCTCTACACTTACTTATTCTTAGCAACTGAATTATGTAATGATATTGCCTTAACAGATGTTTAAAGTGTTATGGTAAAATTAATAAAATGACAAAATGCTATGTAGAAATTAACTGAAAGATGAAAATAGCACTAAAACTAGTTAGAAATGCTTTGGGAATGAACGGGAAATTACAGATAGATAGATATATATCTAATTCTGAAGAGCAAGAAGAGGTGATTCAAAGAAATTTAGCAATCATCATTAAGAAGAAGATTATTAGGAGCTAAGCACAATGTAAACTAAATTCTTAGTGTGAAACAGTATACCTATTTTAATACTTAGACTTTAAAAGCGAACAGGTAACAAAAGCTCCAACTACATTAAGGATCTTGAAAATTTCATTACTGACTTTTCCTTTTGTGACTACAGTAACAGGGGTTTTGGCAGATAGAGTTTTAAAATTATTTTAACAGGAAAAAAATGTGACTTTGCATCGTAAGTAAAGGTACAAGGTACAATTAAGTGGTCATTTAGTAAGAAAACATATCACTCACTTAAATTTTCAGATGGTACCATAAATTCTTCAATTTCATCATCAGAATCATCAATTAACGGCATGAAGGCATATCTACATCAGAAACAAGGAGTAGTTTTATTAGTGCATTTAAACCTGTTCGGTTTTCAGTTCATACCTAAAAGCATCATTACATACAAAAATATTTACATTAAAAAATTTCTTATAAATTCAAATTTAAAAATTTAATTATTTTACTCTCAAATTAGGAAAGATTATCAGCAATGAAACAGTGAAACTGGAGCTCCCAAGCCCTGCTGGTGAAAGTATAAATGAGAAAGATCTTTCTGGAAAGCAGTTCTGCAATGTTCAGGGAAAGGAACTTCCTGATGTACTTTTTTCTCCTTGTCAAAAACCCTCCCTGCCCACTACTTGTTAACTTATCCCCTAACAAAAGGTAAATTGCTAATCTTACTGGTGAAAATAAAGTGTACTGACTAAACCACATTTGCTAGGTCAGAAATACATTCAGAAAGCACTGCTGATAATAACAATAATCCTAGAAACAAACTAGTCCCTAATAACTAGGTACTGCTTCTACAAATTAGGCTACATTCATATTATGGAACGCCAAAGGGCCATTAAAAATAATGTGGTAGATCTAGGGGCATCTGGCTGGCTCAATCAGTAGAGCATGTGACTCTCAATTTCAGGGTCATGAGTTCAAGCCCCATGTTGGGCATGGAGCCTACTTTAAAAAAAAATGTGGTAGATCTATACAAGATGATATGGAAAGATAGAGCTTAAACAAGAAGGTGCAGAATGGTGGATATGTGTATGTATGTACTTATGTATAATTATTATATACTTTAAAAAAAAAAGAGTTATCTATTTATTTTACAGAAAGAGAGTGTGTGTGCATGCTCGCACAGGGGGGTGGGGCAGAGGAGACAGTTTTAAGCAGACTCTGCACTGAGTGTAGAACCTGACTCGGGGTTTGATCTCACAACCCTGAGATCACACGACCTGAGCCAAAACCAAGAGTCAAGACGCCTAACGGACTGTGCCACCCAGGTGTCCCAATTACTATATACTTTTAAAAAGAGAGGGAGAAACGCACACTGGTATATACTTTTCCATTTTTCCTTAGAAAGGCATTCAAGAAACTTCACAACACTTTCCTTGGGGAAGAGGAGTGAGGCAAGGGCAGGTGGGCCTTCCTATCACATGCAGCCAATGATACAACCTGAACTTACCACTCAAGCTCCTTATATTTTGGTTCCACTTTTCCTTTCAAGCTTTATTTCCCTCCAATGTAAGTAGTATTAACCAAAATGCATGCCTCAATGACCTCCAAGGTATACCACGTTTTCACCCACTACTTCAGAAAATGTACATTCTTTCTCAGCTCAGCCTTTCACGGTTCTGCTTCTTTCCTTGAGGAAGATGCTGCCTTTCAAGGAGGCTTCCTCAACCATCTTCAGTCTTCCCCCTGGGCTTCCTAGTTTATACATCTTATTTCACTGTCTTACATCATGTCTGTCTCCCTAGTTGATTGTGTACTCCTTTAAAAGTGAAGACTACTTGCTCAGTCTCTATAAATGTGTTTTTATTTGAACCCAGTAGCAGTGATCAACAAATGCTTGCCCAATGTGAATCTTCCCATGTTAGGTACCTCTGATTGTTTGCTGATGGTCTCCACAAAAACATTATTACGATAAGGATAAGTGAAAAAAGGAAGCTCCAAAATGCATCATCAACCCAGCGTTCCATCCAATCCTATAACAAGGACAATTCAAACATGAAATATTAATTTTCTGATAAACACAGATAGATTTTCCCATTCAAATAGCGTACAATGACAAACACTAATGAAATCCTTCCAACCAGTCCATCTTCCAAATAAGTACATGTTTTTTTAAGAAAATAAAAACTAAGAAATGCTATCTTCATCAAATTAACATGAATGCCTACTTCAGCCATTAATCAATCAGATAAACAAAATCCTAACACAAATTATACACTACAGTATCATAAAGAATTAGTGTTTAGGGGCGCCTGGGTGGCTCAGTCGGTTAAGCGTCTGCCTTCGGCTCAGGTCATGATCTCAGGGTCCTGGGATCAAGTCCCGCATCGGGCTCCCTGCTCCGCGGGGAGCGTACTTCTCCCTCTGTCTGCCGCTCCCCCTGCTTGTGCTTGCACGCGTTCTCTCTCTGACAAATAAATAAAGTCTTAAAAAAAAAGAATTAGTGTTTAAAGGGGCTTCTAAGGTCATTTAATCTATTTTCTAGATGAGAATTGTGAGGCAGGTTAACAAGACAATCAGAAGCAAGTTCACAATGGGTACTTTTGACATGGACGGTATTAGAATTTCCAATGTGAAGATCTCGATGCAATATTTTTCCCAATAAATTATTTTGCTTTTAGGAGATTTTATTATACATTGTTTGAAATGTTCCTAAAGGGCTGTTTAACATTATAAACACTCCTTTCCATAAAATTTTAAGGTCAACAGAAAGATTTACAAAACAAAAATAAAAATCCAAAAGATATACTTAGAACTCCAGGTGAAAAACCTAAGGTGACAGGAGGAGAAAAAAGAAATTCCAGAAAGTTCAGTTTCTTCTCTCACTAAATTATCCCTAAGGCAGAAGTCTAGGATGCACAGAGGGCTGTCTGTAATGCTTATTTAGAACTAGACTAGCTCAAAATCAAGAAGCCCCCGAAAAAGCCTTTTAAATTTTAAGTCTAAGAAATGTACCTTCTACCTAGAGAACCCACAGAGAGTATCTCCTGAATGTTCATAATGAGTGTACCATCTTAGAACTATGTCAGACTTAAGGTTTACTGTTCCATTTAGATATCAAAAACCCAATTCCATGGTATGCAAGAAGAAAAAGCTTTCCTGTTACCTTATGTTATATAGGAAGGTAATTATTTTTCAAAATATATAAAGGGGAAGTTGAGAAAAGAACATAATTGGACAAGTAGATTTAGGAGGAATATTTTCAGATTCATTTAAAGGAGGCAAAATTTCTTATAATTCTCTGTAAAATAATTCAAACTAAACTGAAAATCTCCACTAAAATTACCTGTTTACAAACACAAACTAAATTCTTCAAAATTACCCAAAATAGTATAATTAAAAATGAAAACTGTTTAAATAGGAAGATTATACTTACTGATTGACATTTTGCAATTCTAAATGTCTTGGTTGTCCACACCATAAACACTATAGAAGCTGAAACACACCAAAAAAAGTCACCTCTGAAGGAACATGCAATACTAAAATAATTTATTATAATAAGAAAATTAAATAGCTTACCAAGTACAGCAAAGATCAGAGTATTTGTAAAGTGCCTGTATAAAGAAAATTTCACTGTGTTCTTTCTTAGCCTTAGAGTCTTCATGGTTTGTGCCAAACTTATAAATATGTGCAAAAAGTTAAGGAAAAACATTTTAAATAGTAATAAACAGTTTAAAAACAAAATAAGAATCTCCTACTACATTTCTAAAATTAGTACTGCTAAATATAGTTCCTATAAAAACACAAAAAATATTATTTTAGTCAATATTATATCATCATGATACTGATTTTATCGCAGATTTTGTTTTACAATTTACCATTGTCTGAACTAAATAAACTTTGAGGAAGACAACAAGCAAGAAGCCCTATGATGTTCTCCTTCAACGTCAAGCTCCCAGAACATAGGATAGAGCAGTATATACACTAAAAACGAGCCACCTTAGGCCAGACACTCTTTTTTTTTTTAAAGGTAAATCTATTTTTTTTAAGATTTTATTATTTATTTATTCATGAGAGACGGAGAGAGAGAGAGAGAGAGAGAAGCAGAGGGAGAAGCAGGCTCCCAAGGAGCAGGGAGCCCGATGTGGGACTCGATCCCAGGACCCTGGGATCATGACCTGAGCCGAAGGCAGACGCTTAACCATCTGAGCCACCCAGGCGCCCAGGCCAGACACTCTTAACAGATCACATTATGACATGCCCTTAGGCTTGTGCTTTTTGTCTCTGTTTCTTTCTTATTTTCTTCTTTCCAGTCTACTCTCTTTTTATCCTCTGAATGACCATAATTAAGAAGGGAAGTCAACGGGGGCCTGGGTGGCTCAGTCACTACGTGTCTGCCTGCGGCTCAGGTCATGGTCCCAGGGTCCTGGGATGGAGCCCCACATCGGGCTCCCTGCTCGGTGGGAAGCCTGCTTCGTCCTCTCCCACTCCCCCTGCTTGTGTTCTCTTTCTCACTGTGTCTCTCTCTGTCAAATAAATAAATAAAATCTTAAAAAAAAAAAAAAAGAAGGGAGGTCATCTATTAATTCCAATATATAAATTGAAAAATGAAATACGTTAAATAAAACAAATCTGGACTTAGGTAAGGAGAGACTTCATTCAAAAAATTATTGCAACAGGCAGAGGAGGCTTATTGCCATAGGGAGGATGTTCCAGCTCTAAGATCTGCAAGAGTCCCACAGGTCAGGCCAGACAGGGCTTTGATTTTGTAGGGAGGGGTAAACAAGACTAGAAAACAGGTGTGGGGAAGTGGGTGGCATGACTGAACAGCTGCTCAGGGAACGACTTTCCCTGAGGTGTGCAGGTTCTCGAGAGGGACCACTGAGGAGGGCTGTGGTAGACGAAAGCTCAGGGACCTAGGGAGGGAGACCGCTTACTCTGGCCCAGGCTGGCGTTCTGGCCAGATTGGTCAGCAGGTACACAGGTCTGTGTCTGGCCTTGTCAAAGGTAACAAGGGGGCATCTGGGAGTCTCATGTAAATCCTATGGGACTTATGTCTCATGTAAGTCCTTTGAAGTAAGCCTTTCCCCGGAACACGAAAGGGTGGAGGTTTTCTTAACCATGGCTGTTTTCCAGGAGCACAGGGATCAGGTAAAGCTCAACACTGTCACGTATGAAGAAGCAAAAAGAGGCTTCTCCACTGACTCCTTGGCAGTGAAGCTGGGACTCAAGCCAGAGCACTCTGTAAATGGGAGTTGCTTCCTCTGGAGCATACCATCCAGCTTTGTTCACAGAACTGTATACTGAACAAAACAGAGCGGAGCAAAAGACTGGAAGTGGCAAACTTTGGATTTATGCCTATTTTAAATTCCAAATACTTCATGAATCAGAAACTTCATGGTAGTACTCAAATTACCAAAACTGCTATTCAGTCTTCCTAAATGACCAGTGAGTTACGAAAGGAGATCAATTTCTAAAACAATGCAATTCAACCAATTAAGGCTACTGTCAGAATTTACAAAACAGTAAATATACTGTCTTCTTTTAACATTATCAAGACAAATGCTTTTTAAAAGTTCTTGACTAAAATGAATTTTCTACGTTAAAAATATGGTCACATTGAATAATTCAAAAGTATTTCTGAGAAGCCGAGGAATAAAAAGATCAAAAGCAAATTCAAAACTGCCTAAACCTCCACTTACCAAGACACTGTTAAATTTAAGTAAGGCTTAAATCATTTCTCCCTTTAAAGGAAAGTTGTTACGAAAGCAAACAGGCCCAGTTATCCTGAGGTGAGAAGCAACGGGAGCGTGTTGCTGCAGTAGGAAAAGGATATCCACCAGCACAAGCCAGAGTCAAGGAGAGAGAGAGGGAGACTGGCCAGAAGCACAAGATCAGAGTCATCTGCCTGCAGCAAAACAGCAAAAAGTTAAAACAAGCAGAAAAAAAGAGGAAGAGGGCTTCATGAGAAAAGCAATGGCTCTGAATTTTTCAAGTTATTTCTTCTTTTACTTGAGAACCAGATTCTTACGGGATAGCTGTGTTAGGTTCATCAGAGCAAAGGAAGCGGGGTCATTACGCAAGCACTCAGGTCTGTGTGTCTGTAGACCTGCTTCTCTTGCTTGCCATTTGTAATCATTCAAGAAATCTACTCTTCCTGTACAGATAATGCAGACTTCTCATTTCAGTAAAGAAAACTGCCAAATAACCATCTGAAAGCAAACATAGGAAATTCAGGTTCAAGCTGAAATGGATACTAAGTTTTCTTTCTTTCACCATGAAACACTAACCAAGATAATTTTAATTTCTGGATTTCTTTATGACTTTTATTTCTAACACCTTTCTTAAATGTATTAATCATTAAGCAAACTAAATCTTTTGCCTTGTTTTCCTTATCTCCCCACTCCAATTTGGCTCATTATATGTTGGAATAGATCAAAGTCAACGCTGTCCATAAAGGTGATAAATTGCCCTCATTCAAATCCAGATGGAATTGGGCCCTCAGAGCTGCTTGTCTTTGGAATTTTCTGCCAAGTTGCATTACTGTTTTTCCCAGTGAACTACCTTGTTGGATAGTTAAGAACAAGAAATCTTTGAAACATATCTGTGAATTACCAGGGTAAAAGATAATACAGATTTTTTAAAAATGCCATGTCTATAGCTCAATTAGTTGACTGAAGAACATACTTGCTAACTTATTAAAGGCTCCAAGCATATATAATTTTGGAGACAAGACAATTCCAAATTAAGCTCACTTTCTAAATGCACAATGACAGAAGGGAAGACGTTAAGATCCGGAGCTGGCAATGCTGAGACTAACAGCTAGGTTCACCTGCACTGCGATTCTGCCTATCCTGATGCCAGGTATGTTCATCCTGCCTGCCCCTTCTCCTCAGGTCAGCTGAGCATCCCTAACAAGTGATAGGGCTGCAGCAGAACAGGTACCATGGCCCCTGGGGATGAGCTCTCATGGCCAGAGCACTGGTCATGGGCAGAACTGAGGACTGTAGTTGACACCTTTTCAACAGCTCAATGTCTTTAAATGTGTTTTCATGTGGAAAATATAAAAATTACACTACAATATGTTTTAAACAAACAAAAAAAAAATTACACTACAATAAGATTAGTATCATTGTTGGAAAAGATAAGATGTATTTAACTATAATTTCTTTCCACAAACTTGGATTCTAAAGTAGTATCTTCGACCAGAAGTAGAACAGATTTTTAAGCAAGTTTGGTCAGAAACAACTCTTTAAATCAGGTGTTATTTCTTAACTAGATACTCTTCAGAGAGTAGGGAATCCACGGATATAATTTTGGAGGCTTTTAAATGCCCCACTGCAGGCAACACTTTTGTGGGGTGTGTGTTTCTATTTTGTAAAAAGAGGCTCCCCAGCTTTCATTCGATTTTCAAGGGCATCTTTGGTGCCAAGACCCAAACAAGGCTAAGAACCACTGCTTTAGAGAGTAGGGATGGTAACTTAAAAGGCTTTTTTCTGTGGTTTTTAACTTGGAAGCATACTAAAAACTCACAAACAGGGAGTTTAAAGAGCAGACAGACTGGGTTTCAAAGAAACCACCCACAGGGGACTCAGAAAGGGCCATGTCTGTTAGCGTGCCTACAGAAAGGGGTGCTTCCTTGCAGAGGAGGAACAGAGACAAACTAAAGCCCTCTCTGGCCTCCCTGTGAGAGATAAAGATGAGAAAATGGAAAGGAATTACAAGGAAACAAAAGAATGTTTAATATTAAAAGCAAAAAGACAAGTATTGAAGACAGTGGAAACAAAAAAAAACTTGGTAAAAAAAATCTATCTAGAGAAAAGAGTTTCAAAGAGGATGTAAATGCAGAAGAAAGAGATAAAAATAATGTTCTGGGATATGCATAACACTGCATTCTGCTCTGACCAGGTCACAGTTTCTTTAGAGTTCCTCCCATTTCCACGAATGCATATTTGAGGGCTCTGCCTTGGAGTTAAAAAGAATGGAATTTCCCAGACTCCACTGAAGTCACTGAAGCAGTGAGGAGGGTCCTCAAGGATGGGTTACCATGCCTCTAAAACTTCTCTTGCTGTAACATGGCTTCTGTCCCACCAGTGTCACTGAGTCTGCTCTCCTGCTGTCCCATTTGTAACCTCTGGAAGGACCAAAGCCAGGTGCACCTTGGCAGTTCATCTCTCTGTAGTACTGGTCACTGTTGACCACCCTTCCTTACCAAAGCTTCACCCGAGGACAATTTCTGGGTTCTTCTACTTCCCTTTACCCTGGTGTTCCTTTCATGCACATTTCCACCCCCACTGGGCACCATCCTGGGCCTTTCCTCTCTCTGATCTACATGTTCTTGGCTCGCTTCCATGGGCTGCGACCTTCTCTCACATGAAGATGACCTCCAACCTTCACCAGTTCCAATTCCTCTTACAAACCCTGACTGGGATTTCCAACTCTCTACTTAACACTAATGCCCTAGACAGCTCACACTTCATCCATTATGGTCCCTTCCCTAAGTTCATTGCCTTGGGGATGGCAACACTGTCCCCAGCCACCCAAATGAGACAGCAAGACCTCTCTGGAGCTCTCTCCCTTCTTTTCCCACCCACTTCTACTAAGTCTATCATCTGGAGTCTTTTTTCCATTCCCTCTGCCCTATTTTTAACCTACCTCTTTTTTGGACTACTCCAAATGACTCTTTACCAGACTTCCTATCTCTAGGTTCTAGACTTTCCTTTTCCAGGTCATTTTTATATTTTTATTTTTATACGATTTTAAATAATTTCTACACCCATCGTGGGGTACGGACTTAAAACCCTGAGATCAAGAGCTGCACGCTCTTGGGGCACCTGGGTGGCTCAGTTGGTTAAGCATCTGCCTTCGGCTCAGGTCGTGATCCTAGGGTCCTGGAATCAAGCCCTGCATCAGGCTCCCTGCTCAGTGGGGAGCCTGTTTCTTCCTCTGCCCCTCCCCCTGCTTGTGCACTCTCTCTGTCAGATAGATAGATAAAATCTTAAAAAAAAAAAAAAAAAAAGAGTTGCACACTCTTCCAACTGAGTCAGCCAGGTGCCCCTCTCCGGTCATTTTTAAATGTCATTCTTGAGTTCTTTCTAACACAGATTTCATCATGCTACTCACCTGTGCAGCTTTCATTCCCCTTTCCTTTCTCCCTGCAGAAGGAACTTGAGACTCTTGAGCACGTCATTCTATCTTTCCCTTCTGGTCCCACCTTCCATGATTCTCCCACATACGTCCACTTATAGGCAAGCTACTCTGGGACGTTCTATCACTGCATCCATATTTTCACGCTTCCAACTATTTGCTCCCCTCAATTCTTCCCAGGATGCCTTTTCCCCAATTCTTTCCCTAGTTAACCTCATCTGTCCTCTCGGTCACAATTTAATGTCACCATCTCTGTGAAGAGATTGGTGATTTTTGCACTAGAATTACTTTCTCTTTCCTCTGTTTGCATAGCACCTCTTTAAAATGGCAATTTCTATTGCTATATTGCTCCTAGTTATATGTTTGTCTTCCCTCCCAGAGTGTGAATTCCTTAAACGCAGGGACAATACCTTTTTCTTCTCTGCCTCCTCAGCATGGGGCACACAGTAAGTACTTAAGTTTGCTGAACTAACAGAAAAAATAAAGATATTCTTTGTTTGGGGAACTATTGCTTTTTCACCTTCAACTAAATTCCTATATTGAGGTTAAAAATAATGTATACCTATATTTCTTTCTATTATTATAAATACAAACTGAAAATAATCTGATTTTAATGATACAACAAACTACTTTAGGACACAGTAAAGGATATAAACCATATAAAAATGGAGTCAATAACTGCCAAAATAATGTCACCAAAAATAACAGCTAAATGGTTAGAACCCTGAAAGATAAAAATAGGGGGAAAAACCTGAATGTAAACGTTTCATTATATTATAGAAATTATATGAAAAAGAAAAACAATTTAGCTCATCTCATCACTTTACAAAAGCCACATAAAATTTTTATTCCTAATAAAATTGTGTCTAAGCTCATGGAAATTTTTGTTTTGGCAGCAACAGATGTTAGCTTGTCATCTACCTGTTCAATTACAGTGTAAAATTGTATTATGGAATGGCAAATAAAACGTGTCATGTCCCCAGCCCCACTTAGTTCAATTTCAATCTCTCCCCTCTCCACACCAAATCTACCACCAGGGCCACTAATGAAATGGACTCCTGATCTTCCCTACTATCTGTGAAGGGACATGGAAAAAAAAAAAGAAAAGGAAGTGTGGAATGGTAAAAACACACCATAGGTGAGACACTTTAATCACAAGTTGACAGAAAATCATATTTAAATATTTAAAAGTTATATTGAAGACATTGGCTATGTAAAATTTTAAAGAAATACAATGTATATACCATATCTGCATGTGGGATATTTATCTTTTTTCTTTCTAGCAAAGACTAGTTCCTGTAAATTATATACGTAAATGCAAAGCTCTTCATTAGTTTGTAAAAATAAGAATAAATGTACCTTTCAAAGAGTCAAAGATGAAAAGAGCAGGTGTATCTAATACAGAAGGCAGATGTATCAAAGATAATAGGAAGAAGAATGAGGCTTTTAACAAATTGAACAAATGGCCTGCTTCAAGATCAAAATATGTGAAGTCAACTTAATTGGCAACATAGGATCATTCACTCTGTGCAGTGATCTGATTTACACATCCAGTCCAAAAGATATTTTGGGTAAAAATTACTAGGTTCTTTGAATCAAGCAAAATATAATAAGCTGCTTAATCACTCAGTCATCAGCCATATTATTAAGAAAAACAGAGAGCTAGAAATCTAGGGGTTTTCCCAGATATAAATGTTCTGCCTCTTCTTAGAGAGTGAAGTATTTGCTGCCTACATCACCCGAGTCATTTCTCCCTGGACACTACCTTCTCGTGGTTCTTCCAAGAAGGGAGTCTGCTGAATCCCCAAACACTGAGTCCACAAGAGTCAGAGAATACTTATAACCAAATGAGACTTAAGAGTGATGAGATGTAATGTCTGCATGTGTGAAGGATACAGTTAATTCTGTTCACTTCCACGGGTTTAGACCAAGGGTTAAGGAAGAAATGAATGTGTTCAGACTGTATAATGATAAAGACAAATGTTCTTTATAAAGAATAACCATGAGCATTTTTGAGATGGAGCTAATTCCTGGGATGACATCAAGTGGTGCCTTCATAATTGGTCATATTTTAAGAAGTGCTCTGTCTGGACTTCTACTACTTTGAGGAAGTATTTAAAAAGGGAAATATTCCATAGGGGGGGAAAAAAGGCTCAAATTGGGCCTTTTTCATAATTGTCCTGTCTTTAAAAATTTATCTCAGAGATATAAAGTAAATCCTATTTCATAGCAACAACAAAAAGGGATGAAGTGGAATCATGTGGTTTTTACCCCAATAACTCTCATCACGCCTTCAATAGCTGCGAAGATAAAGTAAAGAATCCCCAGTCCGACCACCCGGTGCATGACTGTTCCTAAACGGGGCCTGGAATGAGGAAGAGGAAAGAGAAAAAAAAGAAAAAGAAAAAGCACCGGTAAGTAAAATTCATCTGAATACAGTAACTGGTCCCATTTCCAACACAGAGAAGTTATTATCTAATCAAAGCAGTCTGCTCCCCGCCATCCGGCCTCTGTTTCCTCGGTTTTAAAAAACAGCCTCTTTCCCGGGAACAGGGCAGAAACAGGCTCAGGAGACATGGGCCTCCTTCTCTAAAACTAGAAGCTGTACCGACGCCCATGAAGCAACATGTTGAGACCACCCAGGTGCCAGAGGATTAGCATTAACACAGGTACTCACTGCACCGGATGGAAGAGCAGCCTGAGGAAACCTAGGAGGCTAAGTGCCAACTTCTAAGTGTCACTGGCAGAAACAGTAACTTAATTCTTTCATGAACGTTAATCCACTGATTTTCTGACTTGGGCAGAAAAAGAACAGGAGTATTAGGAGATCAAATTCTATTCCCTTTCTTCTCTCAATGTCTAAAACAAGAGTGCTAACACACTGTAGTTTCCATTCTTTACACTGGAAAGAATTAAAATAACATTTTTGATTCTTAAAAATATCAATGATTTGGGAAAATGCAAAGACAGTAATTTTTGTGATAAGTAATTTGAAAACACAACTGAAATTTCATGAAATTTGCAAATCATATAGCACAAACGTTTCAGCTCAAAAACCCTCTTGCCATAGTAATTAGGAAAAAAAATTGATTTTAGAAAAATAATGTAGTCACTTTAAAACAAAATCTAACTAAAAATTAAACTAATATCCATAGCTTATATTGAAGACTCTGTATCTGATTTAGTTCATCTAAATTCTGACTCATTACAGCCCCTAACTGGAACCTTCCAACAGCAGAACCATGAGTGCTCTGAAGTTTGTAACTAGAATTATGAGGTACAAGATTCCACATGAGGACTCTGTGTTCTGTATACTGTACTAAGGCCAAAAACAAACAAACCTCCCAAGACCCCAAAAAGCATTTGAGAAGAAATCTTAATAAATACCCAGTGGAAAAAAGGTTTCCTGGCTAAAATCTTGCTAACTACACTGATCTCAAGCTCACAAGCACATGTATGTGCATTCAGTGCATATTTACTGAGTGCCTACTACATGCCAGGGACCGTGCTGGGGCCTTAAGACGCAGCAGGACACAAGATAGGCAAAGCTTCTACTCCAAGTGGGGGCAAGACAACAACTCCTAACATATGCATCAAGCGGTGCTCTAAAAGGGGTGAGGATCAGAGTGACCGAGGGTGTGTACCACACTGGGAATTCCAACAGCACTAGCCTCTCTGGGAGAGGATGGTGAGCAGAGACAAGAGTGAGGAAGCAGGGAGCTTGAGTGGCTCAGTCGTTAAGCGTCTGCCTTCAGCTCAGGTCATGATCCTAGAGTCCTGGGATCGAGCCCCGCATCGGGCTCCCTGCTCCACGGAAAGCCTGCTTCTCCCTCTCCCACTCCCCCTGCTTGTGTTCCGTCTCTCGCTCTTGCTGTCTGTCAAATAAATAAATAAAATTAAAAAAAAAAAAAAAAAAAGAGTGAGGAAGCAAACCACGCCCAGGATCTGGGGGGAAGATGCTTACAGGCAGAAGCCTTTATGGCACTGTGGGGAAGTGTCTGTTGTGTTTAAGGAACAGCAACAGCAAGAAAGCCAGCAGGACAGAGCAGAGTGTTCAAAAAGGAAGAGCGGCAAGAGGTGAGATCAGCCATCTAAAAAACCACAGAAGGGAATTGGATTTATTGAGTGAGATGAGCAGAAAAGTAATGAGATCTTAGTTACGTTTAAAAAGGATCATCTCGGCTGCTGCTGTCTGAAAAGACTGACAGACCAGGGCAGATGCAGGGAAACCAGTCAGGAGGGTACTGAAGTCATCTAGGGAGAGAAGATGGTGTGTAGACCCAGGGTGGTGGCTGTGGAAGGGAGGGGTGGGTTCACTCTGGATGTGTCCTGACGCTAGAGCCAAGAAACTGGTTGAGCGTGCCCCAGGGATGCGAGTCGCTGGAACAGAGGTCTGGGGCCTGAGCCTGCGGCACTTCAGTGCTGGAGCTCAGGAAGACAGAGTCTAGCAGCGGGGCTGGGAGGAGCGGCCAGGGCTCCAAGACTCAAGCTGCCACAGGGCCCTTGCACAAAGCCTAAGCAAGGCCATGTGGTTTGGCAACAGAGGTCCAGGTGATTGACAAGAGCAGTCTCGATGGAGGAGTGGAGGCAAAACCTCACTAGGGTATGTACAGAAGAAAATGACGGAAGTTGAACTGACAACCACAGACAATGCATCTGAGAAATGATGCTGCACAGGGATGAAGAGAAATGAAGGAGAAGCAGAGGAGAGGGCCGGCTGGGATGGAGGGGAGATTTGCTTTGGAAGATGACCGAAGTAACAGCATGCCGTTGGCAGTGGCGCAGCTCAGGAAAACTGATGACCCCGGAGGAAACAGAGCCGGCTGCTGGAGCAGCTGCTTTGACACAGGAGAGGTAATGGGATCCAGAGCACAAGGGCAGGAACAGGACTTAACCACTGCCTTTCGAGAGGAGGAAAACGCTATATGTGCTCCAGAATGGGGGGAATGGTACAGATTTGGTGGCAGGAATGCACTGAATTCCCTTCTGATGGTTTCCATTTCCTCGGGGAGAAAAGAACCAAGACCAGCTAAGACGGACGTGAGTAGGAGGGGAGGGAAGGAGGTAGAATAGTGTTCTGTAGGGTGGGAAAAGGGCCATCAGCCGGCACGAGGGTCTAGAAACTGCAAGGGGCATTAAGGGCACACTTAAAGTTCTCGGTCACGAAGGGAATGAGCCTGCACTGTGGTCAGGCAGATTCTTCTGCTTGGGTATGAGCATGAGGCTCAAGGGAGGCTGACAAAGAGAAAGGCAGAAGGCTTCAGGTGTATGCAGATATTCAGCACTCTGCAGGATCGACGGAAGGTGGTGGGATCAAAAGGCCAGAAGCCACACTAGGGTCAAAGAAGAAGTGGGCTGATCTATTGGGAAAAGTAAATGGCAAACGGCGAAGGCGAGGCGACAGTTGAAAAGAGGATTAACATTTGCAATGATAAAGAGGGTACAGTTAAATATAATAGTAAAGGCTAGGAAGTGGCAGTGGGAATCGGTAACTGACGTGAGGGACAGGCAAGAGCAGCCGAGGTGGGGAGATGAGATCCGGTTACTCACGGGATCACCCACACAGATAATGAAATCACAGGGAATTCTGACACAGGAAGTGTTGAGAAAGACAGAGAAGCAGGCACTCGGAGAGCTAAGGGACGAGGGGGGAAATCTGGAACTTGAAAGGCAACTGCGGTTAAGAAGATGTAGCAGGTGATCCAGTCTGGAAGCTTGAGGTTCTGGGAGCTGGAGAGTTTTTTTTTTTTTTATTTTTTAAAGATTTTATTTATTTATTTGAGAGAGAGAGAATGAGAGACAGAGAGCACGAGAGGGAAGAGGGTCAGAGGGAGAAGCAGACTCCCTGCTGAGCAGGGAGCCCGATGCGGGACTCGATCCCGGGACTCCAGGATCATGACCTGAGCTGAAGGCAGTCGCTTAACCCACTGAGCCACCCAGACGCCCAGCCGGAGAGTTTTAAAGAAGGAAGAACAACGGTCCAAGCAAAGGGCGGTGAGGAGAAAGAGGACCAGTCCTTCCACGGTCATTCCCAGTGACTCCCGGGCTTGGGAGAGAAAAGACGGAGCCTGAGAGGGTTTGGAAGAAGTAGGGTCCTCACTGGACGGCCAGGTTTTAGTCTGAAATCTGCTGACCTGGTGTTTAGTCCCCTCTCCCTCACAACACTCAAATACAATCGTAAAAACATAACTTGGGGTGCCTGGGTGGCTTAGTCGGTTGAGCATCCGACTCTTGATCTCAGCTCAGGTCTTGATCATGAGGTTGTGGGTTCAAGCCCCATGTAGGGCTCCACGCATGGCGCGCCACGCTCCATAAAAAGCATAACTATATGTCTAGGAAAGAGAAAATGATTTGAACTTTAAGAATCATTTAAAATTTTCCTATCCTTAAAGTTGACTGCTTATTCATCTAACTATAAAAAGCCACGGGAATTCAAATTCAAGATCTTTATTTGAGACAGTGTAAAGTGATCAGTACCTGGAAATCCCTTAAAAATACGTTCTTGCAGGTATTTCCCTATGGGGTTTGTATGATCATACTGAGAAGTGTCCAGTCTCACAGAATCACAACGTAGATGGGAGGAGTCACAAGACTGAAAGCTCAGTATCTTTCCAACACGCTAATACTTACTTCACAATGCCATAGCCCAAGCTCACAATGATCACAAGGAGGCGAGCCAATGTCCTCTTAACCGCAGATATCAACTCCGCAAATATCAATAAACCTTGGGCTGAGGGGAGGAAAGAAAAGAAATCATTCTGTGCACATCAAGAGGCCTGCCACCAAAATTCTAAATATGTACTGTGTATAACTATACATTTGGATCTCAGCTGAGTTAGCCATATTTGCTTTAAAAGTCATCTAATCCAACGGATGCTTCAAAACCTCAGTGGAGGGGAATCTGTTACTTCCTGGAGAATTCACCCCGTATTCGCTAGCTCTATTGGGCACAGCTTGCTTACATCAATCTAAAAGCTGTCTCCCTCAATTTCCCTCTGTTCTTTTTCTTCCCCTTGAGGTGACAAAGAACTATATCCCTCTTTCTGTCCTGTAAATATTTGAAAACCATAAGGTCCTGTAGAGTTTTCTTTTCTCCAGGATGCCTTCATCGTTTACTCACTTATGCTCCTACTGCGTGGCTATAATAGGAAAAGAGACACATGATCACTGCCGTCATGATGATTATACTCTGGTTAGGACAAGTAAGTAGACAGAACTCAGCATGGTGAGCCCTAGAGGCAATATAGTATCTCCCAGGACTGTGAGGGAGCCAACCCAATCCACACTTGAGGGAGGCACAAGTGGGTTCTCAGAAGTAACATTTAAATCAGGATTTGAAGGCCTAGTAAAAATTAACTATTGGGGGGAAATAAAGGGGAAAGGAAAATTAATGGTACATGAAGAGGCATGGAGGAGAAAAGAGGAAAAGTAAAATACACTGCAAGAAGTCAAAGTTCAGTATGTCTGTAGCACAGTGTAATGAGGGATTTCAAGAGGTGGTGAGAGAGGCAGGGACAATCACGTAGGGTTTTCAGGCCATGTTATGAGTCTGGATTTTATGCTAAGGGCAGTGGGAAGTCAATGACAGTAAACAAGGAGTAAAAAAGGAATTGGTAAACTACAGCCCATAGGCCAAATCTGGCCCTACATCTGCCTCTGTAAATGAAGTTTTATTGGAACACAGCCATGCCCATTTGTTTACATGTTGACTGTGGCTGCCTTTGTGCTACAATGGCAGTTGACTAGTTGAAACAGAGACTGATGGCCTGTAAAGCCAAAAATATTTACTATCTGGCCTTTGCAAAAGAAGTTTGCTGACTCTTGGAATAAAACTGGCAGCTTTATTTTATCAAGATTGCTCTACTTAATGGCTTGGAAAGGAACTAGGCTACAGGCAAGGACAATGCTCAGGAGGCTATTCCAGAAATCCAGGTAAGAGATGATGAGAGCACAGTGCTGGCAGTGAAGATGGAGACAACCAGAAAGACATTCAGAAACCAGTAGTGAATCCACCTACTGATTCTTGTTTTCAGCTCACAATTCTCCAACTTATCCACAAGGAATCATAAGAGACCTTGTCAAATGCCTTGTAGACAGATACGGAACTAGAGGGTGGCAAGAGGGTGACGCCAAGGCGGACTGGCTCAGTCATCCACTGACAGGAATATCTGGAGGAGCATTAGGTTTGGACTTGTGTGAATCAAGTACAAGGGCAGAAAAGGTGAGCTCCTTTTCTGCCATACAGAGACTGAGAAGTCTGCAAGGCATTCAGAGGAGGGTTAGCAGGTGACCACCTACTAGGTCTGTGGCTCAGGACAGACACCTGGCCAGGAGGTTAAGCTTCAGGAGGAACACAATGGATGAGCTCTCCAAGATGGAGGAACATGAAGAAGTCTAGGATGACAAATGTTCAAGGGTGGTGTGTTTTCAAATTCCTTCATGAGCTGCTCAGTCTGGGCTATTTCCCTGTTGGAGGAAAGTGATTATGCAACCTTCCTGGTACAGCTGGACCTGCAAAACAGGAATCTCAACGTCTTCACTGCTAGTCCTCCTGCTGTTACCTAAGGTTGTAGGAGCTAGTGGGAGGCAACCACCCTATAATTGCCTATGCTGAATTTATTCTTCATCAGCTTCAACCTTTAAATTCTCTTAAAAAGTTTCCCACCGTTTCCTGTATTTTTGTATTTGTACTTCAACCCCAAGTTCAAGGTCTTGCCTTGTTAAGTTTCACCTTTCCATTCAGGATACCAAAACTCTTTGATCCTTCAAATACCTCCAAGTGAGAAGGGTCCATCTAAAATTATGGTCTATACCCCCAGTATTAACAACTCTGCCAACATCACATTGTCCACAAAATTTTAGCGAATGCTCTCTACAGATGCATAGGTCTGCAATGAACGTTAAGTGAATAATAAGGATAAACCAGCAACAAGGTCTGAAACCTGAGACAGACATCATTCAAAACCTCCTTCTAACCCAGTGGTTCTCAATCCTGGATGCACACTACAATCACATGGGAAGCCTCTCAAGAGAACCAATTCTTAGGCCTATGCCAATCTCTGGCACTAGTATTGCTTTATTTTATTTATTTTTTTAATAAGAGACTTTTTTTTAAGATTTTATTCATTTATTTGACAGAGAGAGAGAGACAGTGAGAGAGGAAATACAAGCGGGGGAGTGGGAGACGGAGAAGCAGGCTCCCCGCTGAGCAGGGAGACTGATGTGGGCTCGATCCCAGGACCCTGGGATCATGACCTGAGCCGAAGGCAGACACCTAACGACTGAGCCACCCAGGCGCCCCACTGGTATTGTTTCAAAGTTCTTCAGTAATGCTTATGTGCAGCCAGGGATGAGAACCATTGCTCCAGACCAGTGCTGTCCAATAGCAGTTTTTGGGATGATGGAAATTTCTACATCTATGCTGTCCAATAAAGTAATCAATGGCCACGTGTGGCAACTGAGCATTTGAAATGCAGCTAGGACAACTGAGGAAGTGAACTGCTAATGTAATTTTACTTTAACAGCCAGATGTGGCTTGTAGCTACCACACTGGGCAACATAGCTCTATACTGACAAGGCTGATGGGTGGTTACGTGCACGAGCCCTTCAGACATGGTTGCACAACCAGTTTTCAGCTCGCATTTCTCCACCTTGTCCATAAGAAATCACAGCTGACAAATACCTTGAAGAAGTCCAGATATACTAAGTTGAGAAGCACAAAAGAAGTCAATCTTACATGACCTACTCTTAAGGTCCTTGTGTTGGGTCCTAACAATCACTGTTTCCTGTCCCTGCAGTGCTTTTTCCAAAGTCTATCTTTCCAGGATCAGGGCTCAGCAAGACAGCGTGGGTTACAGACTTCATTCCCACTTGGGAAAATCACAAACAACAGCAGCCATGCCGTCTTCTGGCGCCTTCCTTTTCACAGGACTCCTCAAAGACACCAACAGCAGCCTGTGGTTTCTCTTCCAAGGCTTTCTCGTGTCATCTCAGACAGAGGGCTTAAAGTCCCTGAGGGTGGCAAGTGGCCTCTCATCCCTTCATGTATCTTAGGCTGCCGCTGCTCCTCACTGACGTTCAGGCCACCCTCCGCCCTCCCTAGACAAGAGATGATCACCACTAAAAGCAAAGCTCAACTGCCTTACTTGACATTCGAGAATGCTCTCCCGGCGAACCATGAGCAGCAGCTTCACCCCTCCTTCATTATTTGGTTTAGAGCAAGTGTGCGAGCATGCACGCACACACACAAATATCACTAAAACCTCTCATAGTGTAATAAGACCTCTAATATGCCTCCCTGGATATTTGTCCTTTCTTTCTTCTCTTGTACATATCCTTTCATTTTGGGAAATTATAAACATTTCCCAATATAAAGAAAGCAGTATAATCAACTCCCATGTACCCAATACTCAGCTTCAATAATTATCAACTTTATGCCAAATCAGTTTCATCTATATTCCAACTCACTCTTTTTTTTCCTGGAGTATTACAAAAATAAAGAGCAGACATAACCACACCCTATGAAAATCTGTACAAAGATCATTTTAATGGATCGCTCAGAAGCACACTCCTGAGAGCTTTCAACCCTTTTGAGCTACCTCCCTTTCCAAAGCTTTGGCGATGCAACTGTACCTTTCCTTCTCTGGCCTTTTTGCACGCTACCTTCTAGAAATCTGGGTCACACATCTGAGATGCCCAACTTCCTGCCCTCCCTGTGTAAACTGTGAGGGGCCTCCACTGGTCAAGTGAAGTTCTCTGTGAGAGTGAGGAGACCGAGAACGCCAGATGGCTGCAGGCACCATCCATCCCCACACTACTGAATTTACTCCCTGGGCTCAAATTTTCCTTCTTTTCTTTTGTGGAGGAGAAAAGAGAAGAGTATGGGGAAAACACAGAGAAATATGCTAAAAGGTTTAGTAGCACTGAAAGTGCCCCTGCCTGGAACTTTTGTTGTTTTAAGTCAATCACTAGAATGGGAGTTTTCTTCTCCCCAGGAGGAAACTGAGGAAAGCAGGGGAACAGAAAATGAGGACAGCCCATCTGCTAGCCTAGATGAGAGCTCCACTCTAACAGTCCCTTCTTGGCTCTCGTCTTCTTCATCTCTAATGTGACTATTCCCAAACCACTGTACAAAGGAGGCCTCCCCCAGCTCTGCTCACAAATGCTAGGGGTCTCCTGGATCATACTGCATTTATGGAGAGAGTCACAGCTTACTTGATAGCCCAGTGCTGCTGATGTTTTGATATTCGGAATAAAAAACTGCTTTTTCAAGCATTCCCAGGAAAATAACAGCGGCAATCCAAAACTGGATTCTTAATATATCTTTCCAATAACAGGCAGACCACATCAGCCACAGTACGCCATATAAAATATAAATGATACACATCACCATGTAAAACTGTAGGAAGAAAAGCAATTTTAGTGAATTAAGCCTTGTGATCATTTGAAAATGGACATTTCTCCATTCAAGTATCTTTTATTTTCCTGTCACTCTGGAAACAGAAATAGAGGGTATGCCCAAGCATTAGCTACTAAGGGATACCACCATTGAGCTCTTTAAATTGTTAACGTTTCCAATTAGGATACAAAATTCATTTTAAAAAAAGGAAAAAATGATGAGAAATACTCACAATCATCAGAGGCCAATCTGATGCAGAAATATATCCATGAGGCCCAATCATAGAAAGAGAAACTGGTGAAGATGGGGATAAAGAAATTAAAGAATTAAATGACTCATTAGTCTTTTCTTATATTTTTAAATGTAAGCTGATTTCCCAGAAGGCTCTAAGAACACAAACTGAGCTACAAATGCTGAATTTTTACTTAGCAAAAAGTATTGGATAATTACTAGTCATTGGCACGTAATCTCATCAAGATACCTTTACTTGTATACATGGTCTTGTCAAACACCTGGGCCAAATGATTTCTTATGCAGATAGCAGAGCAGTATTGGCCTTTGACTGGCCCCATGCTGAGTCACTGACCTTATGGAGGACTCTGTCTTCCTTAACGTAACTTGGGTTAGATTACCGATTTCAAGCATTTGGTTGGGGTTGTTGTCCAAGACAACAATAAACAGGGTGCCAAACGCAGTACAAAACTTACAGGTCTCAGTAATTGCTCCAGTTACTAACCGGCGGGGTCTTAAAACTGCCTGCTGGTATCAGGAGAAATAGACACAATACCTGGGAAGGTGGGAGGAATGCACAAGTCTAGGTAGCAGAACAGCCCCAAGGTCCCTGGCTCTCTTCTCTGGCCCATTATGTCATCTCTGGGAAGAGGCCCGACTTCCACTCTTCTAGAGCAGCCACCTCCACCAGCTTCCCCTGTGGCACACCAGTTCTGTGCCTCCTCTGAAGCAATGCCTATGTCACTCAGTACTTTCTCCCTCCTCACTGGCCTGGGCAACTCTCAAAGGCAAAGCCTGGCTTCACCTCTGTGTCCCTAGTGGATGAATGAGAGCAGTTTGCAAGACCCCAGAAACGCTCACATGCTGTTGGCTACTACTGGTCCAGCAGACACTCACTCTGGAAAATGACAGCCGAAGCAATTCGGAGATCTGCGAAAGCATTCATTCTCTTACAAACTGCCTTTTGTAAGCCTACTCTTGGATTGCATACTAGGAACCATACAGCTTAATAAGACACAGAGGGCCTACCTTGGAGGGCGGGGGGTGGGCAGGGAGCCAGCAGACCCACAGAAGCCACAGTTGCCAGATAGGCTACTTCTACTCCTAAGCTATAGACAGATGCTTTAAAATAAAAATTTTAAACCCCCAATGATGGCCATTTTCATGAGACAGAATACAATGTACTGCAAATACAACTAAAATGTTGCCTACCCATTTCTATCTTAGAAAATTCTTTTTTAAATCTGAAAGGATGAAGAATTTTATATCCCACTATAGCTTGAAATTTTAAAAATTTACCTTCATTTTAAATTTCCAATCCATTAAAAAATAAATATTACAGTTAAGATAAGCATAAAGTTTTAAGTACCCCAGATAAACAGATTATTTTTGTGATTAACAGAAATTCATTTTTGAATGATGTATTTTAATAGAAAATGTAGATTTGGGTCAACGACAAAAATAAAGAATACAGTAAAAGCAGACAGCAAACATGCATGCAGTTTAACTATACCATTCAAATTCCATCTTGCATCTCTTTTTTCCGTTTTAATAGAAACAATAAAGATATGAAACCCATCTCTCTGTGTTCTGGCTACAACATCCTAAAACAGGAAAAAAAAAAATCCTTTATGTTATTTTAAAAAATTGTTAAATGAGCTATAAACAATTATTCACCACATTTTAATACAACTTTTAGTAATTGAATTGGGTTACTTTTTACTGTTTGAAAACCATGGAAAGAAATGGTAGGCAGTGGAAGGATAGTGGACTGTGAAAGGATTGCCTCCATTTCTGCCCCCCCACCAACGGTCCTCTCAGACCCAAAGCAATGGAGAAGAAAAAAACTTTTTCTACTGTTCAGTTTTTCCTCTTTTAATATTTTTAAAGGATCTCCCCTAAATGCTATCATTCTGTTTTACTTAATAATACCATTCAAATATTTTTTTTCTAATATTTCTCTTCCCATATTTCATCCTAATATCAAGCATTCAGTTGTTAAATGTGGTGTTTTTAAATTGAACCGGGGGGAGTAAGAAGTCAGGTAACATTGTTAGAAAGACTGTACAGATTCAGTACACAGGTTCAATTACTTAAATTCCTTAACATCTATGTTACTAGCAGTCCTGCTGGGAAATGAAATTTCCCACTGTAATGCCTAGGAATACTGCGATGTCCCACATAATTGAGTTAAACAAACTTTTCACATTCATTCTTCCAGAATATTTCCTACCCTTCCCTTTCATTTCCTACTCCTGCACCTGCAACAAGAGTCCGTGCAGAGCAAAGAGTTTGTCCCAGCCACTGCAGAGTGGAACGCCTTTCCACTATGAAACTACTCTTTAAGATCATTGAAAAACTTATGGAACATAAAGAGTCACAGCATAAAAGCAAACGTGAAGCCCTCCTAAAGGTACCTTCAGTCCCTACACTCCACTGCTTTCAACCCTCTCCACCTCTTGGTCTTCTGACTTTTACGAATTCCTCCAAATACCAATTCTCTCTCCCCGGGTGCTACATACATTCTGTTTCTTTACATCCTTAATGATGATCCAGACCAGCCCACTGTTATGCTAAGCATTTGAAAGAAAGGTTGCAAAGAAGTTAACCTTAAATTATAACTTCAAAGGAATTTTTAAACAAAGCCAGAAATAAGTATATACAAAATTCATACAGACACACATAAAAAAATATACTATTTGGAAAAATGTTTCTTTTTCCTCCCCTGCTTCTAATCGCCCTACTGTATATTGCTCTCCAAGTATCTATCCATCGCAGATTCTTTTCAGGCTTACCGGAACTTGTATACATTTGATTTAAAGACAAATAAAATGACTTACTGTTGATCTTTCCTGGTTTGAAACATTTCTGGTATTTGTAATTAGTTCCTTATTCTGGAAAAAAAAAAAAAGAATAAAATAATTCCATTTTATATTGCTGCATTTCTATGGGGAAAACTGCTTTAACAATTAAGAAAAAAATGTTTTGAAAAAAGTAAAGAACCAGAGAACACATCTTCGTAGCACAAACATGAGTAACAAAATCCTGCTTTTGAAAAATTATTTTTTAAATCAGGATAGTGGTTACCTTTGGTGGGGAAGGTATTAGGAACTAAAAGGTGGGGGGGAAGGGTGTTCTAGGTGCTAAAATATTCTTTACTTGATCTGGGTCTATACTGATGTGTTCAGGTTCTGAAAATTCATCAAGCCATACACCTCTGATACGCACACTTTATGTTTATTACATTTCAACACAAATATTAAAAACACCTTTATTATTTTCACGGAAGACATATTTTCATTTCAGAATTTACAGATTAAAAACATAAGTTACAATGACCCATAGATGACTGCTGTTAACATTTCAGAGTCAAATCTTCCAGGCTGGGAGGAAGTAAGTACATAGGGTAAGTACATAAGGGAGGAGACAGTGTTTAAGTAGGTTGGATGCTGATAAGTCAAGTAAGCTGACAGACCTTTAGTACTGGGAACCGTGACTAGCTGTTCTGATGGAATGATGGGGGCAAAGGTCTCACTGGAGTAGACAGAAGAGAGAATGACAGAGGAACTGGCAGCAGACCAGGAAAAGAGGATGGAAGGGTTCTTTTCAAGGGTGTTTCTGTAAAGGGTACAATGAAATGGAGCAATGGCGCCAGGGTCTTACTTGTCAGTTACTATACAAAAGAACTACAGCTAAAATTAACAAATTAAGCACCTTTATCAAAATATTGATAAAATAGAATTTAAGTTAATACTTGTACTCACTGGGAGTAAAGTACCTTCTACTTTGACATGGCAAGATGGATACTCACAGTCAGTGAGGGAAACACCTGTAAGTCACTGTTGCAATCTAAGTTTTCATATTTTGTTGTCCAACATTCAGTGTTCTTGAAATAATGGCCACAAAAGTCTTCATCAACACCAGGATCCTGTTTTTGTGATAGCTCCTCCTACCCAAGGTAAAATTCTATGTTATAATTTATTTCCACACTTCTTATTCAAGAAAATAAGTAAAACTTAGTATCTAAATGATATCAAAGATTTATTCAGTTTGGAACACTTGAAAACATGCAGAACAAAATACTGAAAAGAAAAATGTTTTGGATATAATTTTAAGTATGACAAGGTAATCATAACATGTTAGCCATTCCAAGGTGCTCAGATACAGTAACACATAATACAAGCATAATCTTTTTTTTTTTTAGATTTTTATTTATTTATTGAGAGAGAGAGAGAATGGTAGAGAGAGAGCATGAGAGGGAAGAAGGTCAGAGGGAGAGGCAAACTCCCCGCTGAGCAGGGAGCCCGATGCGGGACTCGATCCCGGGACTCCAGGATCATGACCTGAGCCGAAGGCAGTCGCTTAACCAACTGAGCCACCCAGGCACCCCATAATACAAGCATAATCTTAGAGGAAGAAAAGTGACTAAGGTATTACCACAGGAAATGGTTCACGGAGAAATAAAAAATACTTTGTCCTGAGGCCACTTTCATTTTATCCCATATATAAAAGATTTTACAGAGAAAGAAAAGCAGCATTTAACTACAAGGAAAGTTAAATCAAAGACAGATCAATAAAACCAGGCTCCTAATGGCAGCTTCCAGTCATCAAGAAAAGGTTACGTTGGCTTCTACTGGCCAAATAGGAGACAATTTGAGCAAAATAAATAAAAAATAGTAATAGATTATAACCCATGTAACAAAGTAAAAATCAATGAGTCCATGCTGATGATTGCTCAGTTAAATGATTGACAGGTTAAGATAAGAGGAAAAGAGAGAGCTCATCCTGATGGCAGAACGTTAACAAAGCGGAAGAAAATATAGAATTAGAAAATCATCATTTAGGGGGCGCCTGGGTGGCTCAGTTGGTTAAGCCACTGCCTTCGGCTCAGGTCATGATCCTGAAGTCCCAGGATCGAGTCCCGCATCGGGCTCCCCGCTCGGCGGGGAGTCTGCTTCTCCCTCTCGTGCTCTCTATCTCTCATTCTCTCTCTCTCTCTCTCAAATAAATAAATAAATAAAATCTTAAAAAAAAAAAAGAAAAGAAAATCATCATTTAGCAATCATCAGAGCAATATCTGATTCATCAGTCAAGAATCAAAGGATATTAAAACAAGGATTGATGAAAAATCAGGATATTCACATACAAACACAAAAATATTTCTTCACAAATTAGTGTTAACAACAAAGTAGTAATTTTATAGTGGAGAAACCTGGTAGAAACTTCCTTACCAACTAATCAAAGTTAGCATTACCAAAAATGAGACAAACAAGAACTCCCCAGTATGCTTGCCAAAAACATAATCTGAATCTAATCATGAAGAAATAACAAATATTGGAATTGAGGGACATTTTATAAAAATAAATGGCTTGTACACCTCAAATATATCAATGTCAGGAAAGACAAAAAAAAAAAAAGCTGCAGAAATGCAGTGTGATGTTGGATTGGACCTTATACCAGGAAAACAACAAAAAACTGCTAAAAAGGATGTTTTGGGGACACTGGCAAAGCTTTATTAAGATCTGTTTATTAGGGATGCCTGGGCAACTCAGTCAGTTAAGCATCTGCCTTCAGCTCAGGTCATGATCCCAATGTCCTGGGATCGAGCCCCACATCGGGCTCCCTGCTCAGCATGGAGCCTGCTTCGCCCTCTGCCTGCAGCTCCCCCTGCTTGTTCTTGCTCTCTCTCTCTGACAAATAAATAAAATCTTAAGAAAAAAAGATCTATTAGGTAACAGTTTTGTTATCAATGTTAAATTTCCTCAATTTTATCCCTTACTGTGTAATCTAAGTGAATATCTTTATTCTTAGGAAACACACACTGAAGTATTTAGTGTGAAGGGGTAAAATATTTGGGGATAAAGTCACAAAGGCAGGATGTGACTAAAATGGCACCTCTCATCCCAAATGGAAAGATAATACAGATAAAAGTATGGAAACCCATGCATCATTCAAGCTAGGAGCCCACAAGGAAATGGCTGCAAGCAACCACCAGAACTGTCAAAAGAAACACCTTGCTGAGGGATGCAGGACACCCCAGGGGCAGGAGAAAGCCTAGCCTGGCCTCTTTCCTCCTCTCACCTGCTCCCCCTCCTCCTTTCCCTGGGGGTCTCTTTTCCTCTCCTCACCTCTCTGAGATCTGCTTCTACTCACTAAAGCTACTCAGCGTCCCTAAAGTTCTAAGTGCCCTATAACTAATTTTTTGAATGAAGTAAAATTTTTACATTTCTTCCTTAAACTACACTGATTTTTATTTGGATGTGACCCACAACCCCTTTACTGATGGTTCCTACATGTCTGGTTTAAATATTTATTAACATTTTTCACAAGACAAAAGGAAACATTTTTTGTTTAAAGATGTTTTAGTTTTAGTTTAAAAACTAAAAACCTTTTAGTTTTAGGAAACTAAAAGATGTTTCCTTCTCAGAAAGCATATACTTTGATATAATTAAAGCATTTCCTGCCTAAGTCCCAAAATAAATCTGTGGCACTTTTAAAACTACAATCTATATTTTTGGCCTCCTTACCTGATGAGCTAATAAATCTTTATACTCATAATTTTTCCTTCATAGCTTTAAATACATTAAAAATTTGCATTTTACTTACCTCCAGATTAGAATATTCATTTTGACAGGTATAATGCTTCAAATGCCACTCTATGGTAAACTTCACAGGCCCAGAACAACTGAATGACTTAACTGTTTAGAAAAAGAAAGTCTTATTTTATAGTAATCACATATATGCTCCAATATAAGCTTAAGGTTTCGAGAATGCAATTTAAAATAGCTACTTTAATGAAACAGTGAGTAAAATATTACCTAATTTTGCCCAAAAGTCACTGTAAAATGAGATAAATTAATTAAATTATTATAGTTAACCAAAAGTTGCCATAATACTATTCAATCTCTGTATTAAAGCTAGAGTTAAAAATCAACTGAGTAACCAAATATGCTGTCACTGCTTACTCTAAAGTCACTCTAAATTGTTCTCTTCACTGACTTATTCGTTCAAAAAATATTAAGTGAGCATCCCTTGTGTGTCAGAGACATAATGGTACACTAGAATAATCCCTGTCCTTGATATAAGAGGTACTAGGGAGTGGAGGGTTAACAATTAAACAGGCACCTTTGACAGAATAAGGGTCTGAGAAGAGGGGGTCAAGGGAGCCCTGGGCAGGGGACCTAACATGGTCTAGAACAACATGAAGGGCTACCAACAGGCTTTACTAGAGGAGGAGGCCTTTAACGTGAAGAGCAGGAATTAGCTAGGTGACAAAGAGAGTGGGACAGTATATGCAAATATCCATGACCACCTGAAAATAGTTTGCTATGGTCAGAACACAGATTGGGGAAAGGGGGAAGAGCTGAAGCTGGGTAAGAGTGCTGGAGAAAAGTCGTAAGGGGTACTATGCTCTAAGGAGTTTTCCTTTATTTTGAATATTACAAAGGACTACCATATGTTTCAGGTAGGAGGGTAACACAATTAGACACACAGAAAAGGATTAAGTCTAGAAATAGAAACAACTCTTTTGGGAGTGTTATCACAACATGGCAGCTGGCGTCCCCTAGAGTAGGTCATGACAGAGAGAGAGAGAGAGCAAAGAAGAAGCCACAGTATCTTTTATGACCTAGTTTCAGAAGTGATATGCCATTAGTTCTGCCGTATTCTCTTGGTCAGACCAACCTTGATATAATATGGTAGGGGACTATATAAAGTCATGAAAACCAGGAGGCAGGGATCACTGTGAGCCATCTTGAAGACTGGTAACCAGAGGGAATCCAACCTGAGGCTGAGACTGGTAGAATTTCTGGGGCAGAACACCCAAGAGTTGGGAACCGCCTAGAGAAAAAGTAAATGAAATCTGGACAGGGATACCATTGAACCTGTCTGCCCTAGCCAGCCCCTGCGTGGAAAGAAGTCCAGTGATTCTCAGAGGTCACACAGAGCTGGGAACTAGCTCAGTTTCCACTAACCAGAGTGGAAAGGCCTCATTAAATACACCAAGTGTTCGGGAGAAATGTAGCAGGGCCACACCTTAGAAGTGGTGCTAAGTTAGCCCTACTCCATATCCACCCTAAAAGAAATTAAACATAAAATTGGAAAGGATCAAACTGACCCAAAAGAAACTTAGCTGTCTGCCAGAACAAAGTTGTTAAAGGAATACAACATTTTAGCACTTAAGAATGTAACATTCATGGGGTGCCCGAGTGACTCAGTCAGTTAAGCATCTGCCTTCGGCTCAGGTCTCGATCCTGGATTCCCGATTTCAAGCCCCATGTCAGGATCCCTGCTCAGTGGGGAGTCTGCTTCTCCCTCTTCCCTCTGCCTCTCCCCTCACTTGTGCTCTCTCACTCTCTCAAATAAATAAAATCTTAAAAAAAAAAAAAAGGAATGTAACATTCATGACATCCATGATCCAAACAAAAACTAGATATAAAAAGCAGAAAAAATTGATTCATAATTATGACAGGTCATCATGACAAAGGTGGACATGACAAAGATAATTAGCAGAGAAGAATATTAAAACAGCTGTTATAAATATTTTCCATATGCTCAAAGATAAAGGAAAATATGAAAATACTGAGGAGGGAAAGAAGATATTTGAAAAAAGGAACGAAACTTCTAGAGATTAAAAAAGTACAATATTCAAGTAAAAAATTCACTGTATGAGATTAATAGAGGTTAAATGAGATGAAATACTGGACAAGATCACTGAACTTGAAGACAAAGCAAACGAAAGATCCCAAATGAAGCACAGAGACTGAAAAAAATTAACAAAGCCTCAGTAACCTGTGAGACAATATCAAGCGGTCTAACATAAGGGCAAATGGAGTCCCAGAAGGGAAGGATAGAGAGGTGGAGACAGTGCCTAAATCCATGATCAGAGGTGCCTGGGTGGCTCAGTCGGTTAAGTGTCCGCCTTTGGCTCAGGTCATGATCCCAGGGTCCTGGGATCAAGCCCTGTATCGGGCTCCCAGCTTGGTGGGGAGCCTGCTTCTCCCTCTCCCTCTACTGTTCCCCCTGCTTGTGCTCTCACTCTGTCAAATAAATAAACAATCTTTTAAAAATAAATAAATAAATCCATGATCAATGTAAGAGATGATTTTTTTTTCAGTGTAGATACACAGTTGTTCCAGCATCATTTATTGAAAAGACCATCTTCTCTTTAAAGAATTACCTTGGCACCTTTACTGAAAATCAATTGAGTTTACATATGTGGGTTTATTTCTGGGCTCTCTGATCTTATTGTTCTATATGTTCTACCTTTATACCAGTACCACACTGTTAGGATTACTGTACCTTTATATTATAAGTTTTGAAATCAGATAGAAGTCTTTCAACTTTGTTTTTTTTTTAAATTCCTTTGGCTACTCTAGGTTTTTTTGTATTTGCATATAGATTTTAGAAATAGCTAATCAATTTCTACATAAAGTCAGCTTGGATTCTGATTAACTGAATTTATAGAACAATCTGGAGAAAACTGACAGTATAACGTTAGTTATAGATTTTTCATAAACGCCTTTACCAGCTTGAGGAAGTCTTCTTCTATTTCTAGTTTTAGAATTCTAGGAGTTTTTATCATGAATGGGTGTTGCGTTTTTTTCAAATGCTTTTCTGTACATATTGAGATGATCATATAGCGTATTTTTTTATTCTGTTTATACAGTGAATTACACTGAGAGACTTTCTTTTCAGCAGTGACTCCACAAGACTGCAGCCTGAAAGGTGTAGCAAAAGAGGGGTCACCATGGGGCGCCTGGGTGGCTCAGTTGTTGAGCATCTGCCTTCGGCTCAGGTCATGATCCCAGGGTCCTGGGACTGAGCCCCGCATCGGGCTCCCTGCTCCTTGGGAAGCCTGCTTCTCCCTCTCCCACTCCCCCTGCTTGTATTCCCTCTCTTGATGCGTCTCTCTTTGTCAAATAAATAAAATCTTAAAAAAAAAAAAAAAAAAAGAGTGGTCACTTAAGGGAAAGCCAGATGCCTGATCCACCACACAGCATGGACACATATCCAATGGACTAATTCTTAGCTTCACAGGCACTAAAATCTGGTTCTGCAAGAACACAGGCACTCAGTCTCACTCCCTCACCACACCACCAGTGTAGACGTATAATCTAGAATGCCTCATTACTCACTTAAAATGAATAGTAACTGTAAAGTGGTTGTGTAATGATTGATTAACTCTCTCCCTTCAGCATGCCTTCCTGGACACCCAAAGGTGATGAAGGTTGCTTGATGAGCACGGCACTAGAACAAGGCGCTCAGAAGGATGCTGCATCTACACCTGCTAGTGACATGTTACACCGACAGTCATAGTTCAAGAAGCCTTCTCTCCCATCAGTGCTGCCAGACCTCTGCTTTAACCTGACTAAACACTCGTATTTTTTTATGCTTTTGCTTCTAACTCCGTTTTGCTGCCTCATTCTTTCTTTAGACATGTTAATACCACCGTCTTGCGTGTGGTCTACTCTTAGCTGATCACAAACATTATGTATTGATTTTTTTTTTAAGATTTTATTTATTTATTTGACAGAGAGAAAGACAGTGAGAGAGGGAACACAAGCAGGGGGAGTGGGAGAGGGAGAAGCAGGCTTCCCAAGGAGCAGGGAGCCCGATGCGGGGCTCGATCCCAGGACCCTGGGATCATGACCTGAGCCGAAGGCAGATGCTTAACCAACTGAGCCACCCAGGCGCCCTCAAACATCATTTTAATGCATGTGGAAAATATTCATCTTAAAACAGAGCTGGATGAATCATCTGACTAGAAAAGCAGACGATAAGGCCTTTTCCTGATTTCCTGTCCCTCTTTAGCAAGACTTTCCAAAATTCTACTCCTGCAACGCTCCTACATCATCTCATGTGACTACTGGATGCCAAGTTCTCAAATGGCCTGTCCTGCAAAGGAAGTTTCCACACATTCATGCCTCCAGACTAGCCTTTCAAACACGCCTTAATCACCCATCCCACCTCATCTCCACACACACGTTCCCGGAACTATGATAGGAGCTCTAGAGAAATTCAGGAACCCCAGAAGAGCGAAAGAGGAGTGGGGTGGCTGCCGCATGTTTCCTCCTCATTTAAAGAAAAAAACGAAAGGGGCACACGCGCTTTTAAGTTTATGCTGAGTGAAGACTGGGAAAGTCCTTTCTAAAGTGACCCCACGGGTGTGGTCGTGCGGCTGCAACGGCCCGAGGAGGCGTCAAATGGCAAAGATGCCGGCACGAGCGAGTGCCAAGGGATCTGGGGCTCGGGTCTGAATAAACAAGAACTTGATCGAGCCGGAACGCGTCAGAGCACAGAGAGGGGCCAGGACTTCGGGAAGGCGAGCCTTCGAACAGTACCAGCCCTCAGAAGGGAGAGTCTTCCCCATGCACAAGCTTCCCCACAGCCCAGGTCGGGCCGGAGGAGAGGGCCCTCCTCGTCCATGACAGACGAAAGACTCCAGGAGCATATCACCGAGCCGGAGCAGGCCCGGCAAGACCAGAACAAGTCCGGGGCCGGGCCCGGGGGTCGGAGCGAGCTCCGCGAGGACCCGGAGGGCCCGAGACGCGCCACGCCTCGGTCTCCACACTCCACTTACGTCGTTGACCGTCGCTGCCCAGAGCCCGAGCTCTGGGACGGCGCCCACAGCCGCCGGGGCCCAGCACAGGAGGTAGAGAGCGACGCGAAGCAGCGGCGCCCCGACAGGAAGGCGGCGGCCGGGCTGGAGCCGGGCCCCGAAGCAGCAGGAGACGGCCATCTTGACACGGAAGCCGCACCTGGCGCTCCGAGACGCCCGCCACGCCCCGGGTCCGCACCTGGTGCAACTCCGCCCCCGGGAGGCGGGTTCGGGTCGGGTGGTGTGGCACCGACTGGGAGGTGGACGAGGGGTTTGGGCTTGGGCGAGGAGGCGGGGTTCGGGCCCGGGAAGCGGGGCTGAGGCCCGGGCCCAGGCGTGGAGCTAAAGAAGCTAGAGCGCGCTAGGAGGGGTGGGCGGGTCAGAGTGTGGAGGCGGGCCTCGGGGGCCGGGCCCGAGTGGGGAGGCGGGGTCGAGAGAAGAGATGCCTAGGCGCGGGGCTCGATTTGGGGCGGGGCCAGGAGGGGAGGCGGGACTCAGGACCCGGCCCGAGGGTGGAGGCGGGGCCGCGGGAATAGGCGGGGGTGTGGGCGGGACCATACTGGGGCGGGGGCGGGCTGGGAGGCGGGGCCGGCTTGAGGGGGAAAACTGAGGTCCTAGATTTCATTGTGGCTGTGGTCCGAAAGTATGGGATAGTTTCGTGTCAAAGTTCTGCTCCTTGTGTCTCAGTTTCTTGCATCCTCTGCACGTGCCCCTACCCCAGTCCTCTTAGCTCAAGGGAAACAAACTGTTCTCTAAATTCATGGAAAGTGGTCTGGAAAGTACTACGAGGTCAGGGTCAGCTGAACCCAACGCACTGTGTTGTAAGCATAACGTCGGTAGCACAGTTAATAATTTTCAGACAAATAAAGCTGCCTGATTACTTAAAGCTGAAAGGGGCAGGGCTTACATCTGTCTAATTGTGTACTTAGCCCACCATTTTGGTCTTTGAAAGCTTGATGTCAAAGAGAACTACTTTATTATCAAATGTAAGTAATGTCCAGAGGAAGAATACAATCCTGGATTAATATTGTTATAATGTAAAATAAGATTGATTTATATAGTCAAGAGGCTCTCTCTGCCTTATCAGTCACCCTAGTCACTTATTTAGGCAATAATTATTGAGGGTCTAGTCCAGAGTATTGAGTTGAGGCTCATGTGTATATATAAATGTGAAGATTGAATTTGTGATAGTTCCTTTTCACAAGACACTTGTAATTATATATAAATATTTTTTATTGTTTACTAATGCTTCATATAGGTCCTTTGTTATACAACCATCGGAATTCAAGAGCACGGAGATAGGTTTCTGGAACACTGGCCAATCCCCACCAGTAGGTGGCACTAGCAGTTTGAAGATATTTTATATAAATTCGTGTCTACTATGTCTCTGTAATCCAGAGTTTTTAGCTTCCAACTTCAGTTGATGATGCTATGTATACCTCTAATTTAAATCACTAAAACCTTAATTCAGTCAACAAATATTGTTTGCCTTAGTGCTAGGTATTGCACTGGTAATAGACTCAGCAAGGATTTTACATTATTAAAGTACAAGTACTTTTGTCATTTAGATTTTGTGGCTATTCTATGAAAACCTGGTTTCCAAGGCAGATTAGAACTACTGTCATTGACTTGAGCAAATCAAGCAGCATTGGTATCTCCTGCATCCAAGGCACTGCCTGGATAGGGATCAGATCAATACAGCATAGTCCCTGCCATCACTGTGAGGACGTAAAAATATAAAAAGATGTGCACATGTAAAAAGCCAATTGTACAAGGCAGAATAGGTTAAAGCCTTGAAGCATGGCGATCAGGAGTGTATGGGGGTAATTTGGTTATTTTTTTCAAGAGTCCTTTATCTTTTAGAGATTTCCTTCATTTGAGTTTGCCCAGAAGCAGACCCTGAGATAAAGATTTGAGTAGAAGTAGTTCATTTGAGAGATGCAGGAAATACCAGTAGGGGAGTGTAATGGGCTGAATTTTCCCCCCAAAATTCATATGCTAAAGTCTTAACCCCCAATACCTCAGAATGTGACTGTACTTGGAAATAGGGCCTTAAAAGAGATAATTAAGGTAAAAATGAGGTTGAATAGGTGGGCCCTACTCCAGTATGACTGGTATTCTTATAAGAGGAGGAGATTAGGACACACACACACACACACAGAGACCATGTGAAGACACAGTGAGAAGACAGTCATCTATAAGCCAAGGAGAGAGGTTCAGAAGAAACCAGCCCTGCTGAGATCTTGAACTCTGACACCTTGATGTTGGACTTCTAGCTTCTAGAATCATGAGAAAATAAATTATGTTAAGTCGCCCAGTCTGTGGTACTTTGTTATGGCAGCCCTGGAAAACTGATACAGGGAGTGAGCAAATGTGACACAGAGGGGATACAGATAATAAAGGGGGCATTATCACATCGGCTACTACTGTGGGCAAAGGGAATGTAATCCCATTGAGAAACTTAGGAGAAAGGTGTGAAGCACATGCCTCATAATCATCTCACAAGGGATGAAGGAGCTGAGATATTTATATCTTCATACCTGTTAGTCCTTGGTTTGGGTCTGTCCCGGGCGGGGGTGGGGGGTGGCACCAATGACACTGGCAGTTCCAGCCTGCTATTAGCAGGACACAGTAGTTCTCCCCACTTTGGAGGAAAGCCTTTAAGCAAAGAGATGCAGACCATGAGAGCTAGAGTCAGTTCAGGCACACTGAAATGAAAGGACAGGGGGAATATAGGCAGGGTACTGACAGGGATCACTGCAGAAACTCATCCTGAAAATATTAGCATAAATTTTCATGATGTCTGGGATTTGCTTTAAAATAACCTAAGAGGGAGAGAAGTGAGTGGGGACACAGGTAAAACAAGATTGGCCATGAGTTGATCATTTTCTAAGACCTGGAGATGGACACATGGGCATTTAACTGACAATCCTGCCTACTTTTGTGTAAGGTTGAAATTTTCCATAATAAAAAGTTTATAGAAAGTACATTAGAGACTTCTGCTAGATGGAGCAGTAGGGACCAAATGTATCCCCCTGCCTAAAACAACAATAAACAGACCAAATATATGAAGCAACAGTTTTCAAGACACTGAGCATCAGGCAATGGACAATTATCCCACCCCATAAGAATCAAAAAACAAAACAAAACAAAAAATGAAAGAAAGAAAGAAAGAAAGAAAGAAAGAAAGAAAGAAAGAAAGAAAAAGAAAGAAAGACAGGCCCTGTGACTGGTCCAGCTTACTAGCTTGAGAAAGTTTCCAGGCCAAAATATAGGGAGGAGAAACCAAAGCAGACTTAGCGGGTTCCCAGAGTTCAGAAGACTAAGCTGGGATCCAATGTGAGTAAGACGGCTAGTTTGTAGGACTGAATATGGAGTGGAAAGAGCTGTACAATGAGGGAAACTTGAGATCTAGAGATAGTACTCCTCAAATCTTCAGCAAGAACTGATCACTCTCTACATGTGAGGAAACTGCCTGACGCCAAGAAAAGATTCACCAAAAGGAATAAGAAGGAACAGTACCAGAAAGGGCTGGGAAAAGTGCCTGTTCTGATCAGCTAACCTAGGAAATTTCATAATTTATAGGGCATTTTCTAGAGTACTCAAAAGTTTTTTGCCCCAACAGTGAGGACTAGCAGTCCTAGATTAAACAAGGCTCTTGAGCGCAATTAACAAATCTTAAAAGCAAGACCCAAAAGGCCAAATAGTTTCTAAGTAACTGTGTCCTAGAACAGAGCTCAAGGATATTTATAGGTATATAAAAAATCTCCAGCACCCTAGAAGGTCAAATCACAATGTCTGTCATCCAATTAAAGATTACCAAGTATGCAAAGAATCAGGAAAATATGAGACATAGGAAGAGGAAAAAAAAAACAATTGAAACCGATCTAGAACTGACACATGTCAGAATGAGCAGAAAAGAATATTAAAAGTTATTGTAACTTTTTAAAAAGATTTTATCCATTTATTTGAGAGAGTGAGAGAGAAAGCACAGAAGGAGGGGCAGAGGGAGAGGGAGAAGTGGACGCCCTGCCGAGCAGGGAGCCCAACACAGAGCTCAATTCTGGGACGCTGGGATCATGACCTAAACTGGAGGCAGACACCCAATCAACTGATCCACCCAGGCACCCCAAAAGTTATTGTAACGTAATTCCATATGTTCAAAAGTTAAGTAGAGACATGGAAAATAGAAAAAAGACCAAATTAAGGTTCTAGCAATGCAAAATACAGCGCATGAGATAAAAAAATATACTGGATGGGATTAATGGTAGATTGGCTACTGCAGAAGGAAACATTAGTGAACTTCAAGATATAGGAATAAAAACGAATCAAAATCTCAGAAAAGAAAAAAGAATGAAAAAATATTAAGCATCAATGAGCAGTAAGCATCAGTGGGTAGTCAAATGGCCCGATATATGTGTAATTGGAATCCCAAAAGAAGGAAGGGTCAGAAAAAATTTTTGAATAAATAATGGCTGAAATTTTCTCAAACTTGATAAAAACTATAAACTCACAGATCCGAGAAGATCAATTAAAGCCAAACAAAAGAAATCCAAAGATTACACCAAAGCATATCATAAGCAAATGCATAAAATCAGTAATTAAGAAAAAAATCTTAAAAGCAAAGAAAAAGGGGGTGCTCAGGTGGTTCAGTCGGTAAGTGGCCGACTCTTGATTTCAGCTCAGGTCATGTTCTCAGGGTCCTGGGATGGAGCCCCACATTGGGTTCCATACTCAGTGGGTAGTGTGTTTGAGGATTCTATCTCTCGCTCTCCCTCTGCCTCTCCCCCTGCTCACACTGTCTCTAAAATAAATAAATAAATCATTTTTTTTTTTTAAGGCAAAGAAAAAGGACATGTTACATACAAAAAAAAAAAAGAGAGAGAGATAAGAATGACATAAATTTCTTGTCTGAAACAATACAAACAAGAAGACAATGGAGAAACATTATTTTAAAAGTATTGAGAGAAAATTGTTTTTCAATCTAGAAATCAATGCTCAACAGAAATATCTTGCAAAAACAAATGAGAAATAGTCATTTTCAGATTTAGAAAAGCTGAAGGAATTAATCATGAGAAGACCAGCCCATGAAGAAATGTCCAGAAGGTAATTCTAGGTGGAAGACTGGATTCACACAAAGG